AAATACATTCCAGTAACTGCAAAAAGAGATCAACTATAAGGTCCATTTACCGCAGGATTCTAAAAATATAAATAAACAACGATTCGAGAATGTTCAAGCCGCTCTGAATTTTTTTTTAAATGACTTAATGTCCACCAAATGTTCCGATTCCAAAAAATCTTTTGTCATGCAACATTTATATTATTTAGTAAATAATATTTACAACACATTTTAAATGATCTTTTATTCTTTTCTGGGGGCTTTTAAGTTTATACATTTTGCCAAATATACACAAATATTCATCATATATACGTCATATATCTCCAGTGGATATTTCGTATTTTATTCTTTATATTGTGATTATTCAAGAAAGTCCGCACAAAAGAGAATGAAAAAATTCGTATATATGAATTATTCACGAAATATTCACCGAATATATGCATTTATACACATCTATTTCTGCATATTCTTCATAAATATATGACTATTCATCATAATGTTTGAATATATACTGAAATAGTAGTATTCACTTGAAGTTAAAAGCCCCTAGATTATTTTGCTTGTATTTGAAACTCTCGACGAGTTTGACCTTGAATTCGAATGTAAAATACTGAATGTATAATAAAATTCCAATTTTAAACGGAATGCCATTTTTTTCCGCTCGAATTCAGTATTTTAATTCAAGATAAGTGACAAAAAAAAAATGGATTCATTTGCGCTACGTTAATTGATTTGTTTATTTGTGACCATTTCATCACAGTGCGGTTTTGCCCTTGCGTCGTGCGAGTCTAAAAGTGTAAATTCGTGTGGATTTGTGTAATTGTGTTACATTTTGCTATTCTATCAGTTTGTGTAATTTTCTATTCGTTTTTTATAAGTTTTTGATTAATTAAGGAATTATTAAGAAGTCAATTTATCTTGATTTTTTTTCTCGTCGAGATTATATCAAAGGGTGTCTCGTTATTTTGTAATTATTATTGCATGTGTTTGAAAAAAAAAACTTGTTACATTTCAAAGCTCGGCTCCATGGATCTGATAATGTGTTTATGGATATTTTGTCATTTTTTATCATCTCGTTCTCTTTATTACATCAAATAAAAATTGTATAAATATTACAAATGGCGGTTTTTCTGTTGAATTACGGTCCCATTGACAAACAAACAAATAAACAAGCGAAAAAAATTGAATATCCAATAATATTGCCGTTGCTGATATTTTGCAACGAATTACTGTTGTTTCAATCTAACAAAATTCAATAAATTTCGTTTTCCACTGAGATTTTTGGGTAATTTAACAGAAATAGAGAGCGAGAGAAAGAGAGAATTGGGGGGAGAAAGGGGAGAAACGATGAAAAAAGAAAACAAATTCCAATCGATAATCAAAATGTTTGTGTGTATACAAAATTGTTAATATCCGGCCATAAGTATGAATAGAAGCACAAAATCTGTAATCACATGTACTTGACTATTTCAGTGTGATGCTTCAAAAGAAAAGGGATAACACGAAAAAAAAAACTGAATCAAGTTCAGAGCGAAGATTTTTGTTGCAGCTAAAAATGCGATGAAAATCTCGAGAAAAATTCCAATCTGTGTAATCAAAGTTGATGTTTGTGATGGCCGCAGAGCGATTAAAAGACAGTCGCCCCGAATCCAATAGCGATTTTGTTTCACATAGCAAGTGAGAGATAAAGTGAGAATATGGGGGATAGGGACTAATCTGGTTGGGTTCGCCGTTCAAACATTTAATTTTCTAAAATTTCTTCATGATGATAAATTGTGGGAATCGATTTTACGGTATATATGGCATCCAGCGAACATTCAAGCACGTCGAACGGCTTTAGCCAACCATCAACATTGTGAACGCGCGTATTTTTCACATTCGCTTGTTCGTTCATTCACCGTATCGCCATACACCGAAACATGAGAGAAAAATTGTATTCATAGCATCAAATATAAATATTTAACAGAGACTATGTACTTACGATATTTATTAATATCGAATATCAAATCGGAAAAAAATGACTGGAGGGTCCGAATCAAAAGCTCTCAATTTATATCAATGCAGCGTATTACAAACACATACAATTTCATTGCAAACTTTTTTTTATATCGTTTCTGGACTTTGACTGTAAATCGCAATTTTTTTTTGCTGTTTTCATCAGATTTTTTATTTCATTTTACTGTGTTTTGTAGCTGTTATATGCGATGGTTGTTTTTTTAATGCTCGTTTTGCAACTTTATGTCGGAGCATTTGATTTCTTTTTTCAACATTCAGTTTTATAACAAATTGTCGTTGGTACACGATTTCGACATGTTTAGAATCAAACAACACAGGACAAACAACACATATACACAGAGAAATCAAAGTAACACCCGATGACGGGCAGTGATGAAAATACGCATTCACAACTTGCGAATACATGATGAAACGTATGGCAGAATTGCGTGTGCCCCAAACATAGTCAATATGAATTTCACTCTTTTTTTTTCGAAAATAAAAAAACGTTAACATGATACTCAATGGGTTTTATTTAGTTGGCTTTCAATATTACTGCCTATTTGCTATTTTGGGGTTTTTAATATATCGGCCTGTGATATCAATATCATGTATCAAATATTCATAAACAATTTTACGCATTCTTTCATTTTTATTTCATTTGAGAAGGGAGCCGCATTTCGGCGGCGATTTCCATCAACATCCGATAAATCAAACCAATCGAACAACTTATCGCAATCAAGTCATGCGTACTTATGCGTTTTATGGTTAATCTCAAACTAAAAATGTTAAGAGTATAAAGACTTAAAAACATAGCGCTGGTCACGGCAAAAATCTAGGGACTTTTACGTATATCTTCAAATGTATACGATTTATACTGTAAATAGTGAACTATATTGCAAAATCATCTGTAATATGCGCAAATAAAGGTGCATAACTGCATAAATTTGGTGTATATTTCGTGTATATTTCGTCTATGGCACGATTTTTCATTCTCTTTTGTGCGGAACTTCTTCGATTCTCTCTCTGTGTGTGTGTACACTGCAGTTTAAAATACACCGTATTCACTGGTATAGGCGAGAAATTTTAATCGTATATATGATAAATAGGACGTGAATATTGTGTATAAATTTGTATGAACGAATAGATGAAAGCCCCTAGGCAAAAATTTAACGAGGGATGCAATGACAAAATTCTAGTCAAGGCTCTGGGAAGAATCTAGAGAAGGTTCTGGATAAAGTCTATTGTATATAGTGTAAACCACTCTTTGAAAGCAAATTGATTGTCTCAGAAAAAGTGAATGACTAAAAAAGGGTCATCAAAAGATCTCTAATACAGTAGCTTTTTTATATGAAATCTGTCACACTAACGCCCTCACTCTATCTTTTGGCGAACTAAACAGAATAAAGTTTAATATAAAAGTAAAGTCTCCATCAGGATATTTTATACAGCCGGTGTCAAGATCAATAAAACTGTTAATAGAATCTGCCATTTTTACGCAATTTTGCGATGTGATTGCCAGATTAAGAATATAAATAAAATAAATGAACGGAATAAACGAACTTAACAGAACAGAATAATTCGCACGAGTGTATGACAAGTATGTAAGAGAACAATAACATTACATTTTGTATCTATCTGTCAAATGTCACACTCACACTTATGAGTTTACGTATGGAGATTTTAACAAAATCATTTCTACAAGATCTACACACTCTACACCCGAGGCTTTTTAAGTTAAATTAAAACGCATATAAATTTATGTTTTTTTTAAATAGAAATTATCTAATGCTAATTGTACTAACTTCACTTTCAAAACAAAAAAATGAAACAATTTATTAAATTATTTTTCAACAATTTTTGGAATAACATATGCGCTCATTCTCACACTTGTGAAATAATATCCCATTCTATATATAGATGGCACTGTCTATACGAAGTTCGGCAAACAAAGCATTACGCTTATTGAGCGCATTACACCTCTTGTCATCAAATGATCAAACTCCAAGATTTTTTGGTGGCAAACCCTCGGAAACTGCGTGCCCACCTATGCTTGAAAATGACACCAAAGATTACAAAACAGCACAAATAAAATCTCTGCGTCAAATGAAAAATAAATTGCGCCGAATGATGATAATGATAAAAAAAAGATCTATAAACATTTTTATGTCATAAGTGAAGCCAAAGCTGTATATACTGTTGAAGTAACGTTATTGAAATAAAATGAATGGAATCAACAACGTCTATAATTCTCTAAATTCTCAACGAACAGAATAAATGTGTGAATAATTTGTGTAAATATAATTTACGGAAATCATCAAATTTATTATGAGAGGAATTTTTCGAGATTTTTTTTTTTAAATTAACGTTATAAAGTAATTACTGTTTTATCTGCTTCATTATATAGAATGAAAAGGCCAAAATAGAATGGAACATATTTGAAATGTAAATATTTTGTTGATTATAAAGTGCGAAATAAAAAAAATTGAATATTTTCTCATTGTCCAGTAATTATGTATATATTCACCATATGATAGCAGAACAGATACTGTGGAACGACGCAACGCACATGCTTGTCACAGAGTTATTGGTACGCAATCAAATTCTATTCACGTGCCACTTGACGGCTATAAATTAGTTTTTATTGTCCCGAACCATACACACTGTACGTCACACACTTTCTCACAATGCCAATATTTAATGATATATATTATTGAACTAAAACGAAAGACGCTAAGAAACATGACTGTGAGTTTTCCGCCCAAATAAATTAGTTCATGACTTCTGTGTTGTAATAATAATGCGCGTATTTTTTCTCTCTGTTCACTCTCTGTATGTTCAAATCGAAATTGTTGATGTATTTGCCAATTAATTGAATCAATTAAAAGAATTTGATTTGTTGACATTATCAGTTCATGTCCATTGTCTTGACAATGGAATTTTTTAAAAAAACGAATCGTGAATGAATGTTTAACTAAAACAATTCAATTTAATTTCTTTTTCAATTTTCCAGAACAATCGACAGAGTCTTACAGATAATATATGTTATCAAATATGTGGCTAAATATTTTTTACTTAAAAGCAGACAACATCCCAGTGATTCTCATTCTTTCGCCGAACGACGTGAACGTGAAAAGTCGTATCTAATTCTCTTCGCGTATGGTTATATCTCGTGTTTTATATTGTTTTGAATCAAGTAAATTTAATACTTACCTTATTGACACATAGTACTTTAGAATGCCGCAAAACTACGGGTAAATGTGATTGATCACTGTTTTGATTTTGCTATTTTGTTTGTTTATTCTGTTTTTCATTTTTAACGGGTTTTGTTCTTCTTCTTCCGCATATACAATTACACACAATAGTTCGAATTCATCGCCAACTTCTGACGGCCAGACAGAAAATAAATGCGAAGTTAGTACTTTTCGAACGGCATTGCCGCAATTTTGTGTGGTCGGTGTTAAGAACTTAATTTTATTAGGTAAAACCAAAATGATATTGTGGTTGCGAAAATGTATTGCATTCATTCAGAATTTGTGTTTGACTTTTTTTTCGTTTGTGAAAATAGGATGGGGTTTGATTTTGGGTTATCCAACCATTTTATTACCCGGTTTAGATAAAGATTCAGACTGGCCCCTATCTGGCGATGAAATAAGTTGGATTGGATCGATAAATTTATTGTGCGTTCCGTTAGGTAGTTTAACATCGGGTTTACTAATGGAGAAACTTGGAAAACGGAGAATGATGCAGGTGTGTATAGAATTACAGTTGAAAAAAATAAAAATTCAGTTTTTTCTCGAATTTGGACATTGACTAATGCTGTGCAAACAACATTTGAGAAAAAAGGCTTCAATTAAAATAAATAAAATAATGATGAATGCGTATTATGAGTTTACTTGAAAAAAAAAAAAAAAAAAAACAAAGAACCTTTCATTTTTGTGGAAATATTTTGTACAATTGATGAAAAAAAAAGTTCCAATGAAATTAATTTTGAGTACAGCATGAAATAAATACGGCTCAAATTCTGTTTCCAATGTTGGTTTTTATCCGTGCACTTTGAAAAACTTTGCATTTCATCTCTGATTTTTGGATGGAAGTTATTACGTGTTTAAAAAAGTTATTTTATTCAATTTAAAAAAAAAAGTGTCCATACAACATAAAAGCTATACCACATTATTTATTTATTGTCACCATTTTTGGTTGAATGGTAGAAAAAACTCTTTCTAAATCCTATTGAAATATGTTTTACAAATATTGAATACCAAATAGATGAGTTTTTTTTTTTATTGAAAATTACTTGTTTTTTTTTAATTAAAATTATGTATTTTGTTTATTTTGCCCTTTTGTGATTTATTGATAGATATTACAGTTAACAATATTTTCACGAATATTCAATTAAAACATTGGCTTTGATGTGAAAAAAAAAAAAATAAATGTCGTTCATTCGATATTATTTCAATAATATTTATTGTATTTTTGTAGCTTTTGAATTTGCCAATGTTGGCTGCATGGGCGCTATTATACTATGCAAACAGTCTTACACAGATTTACATTGCACTTGGTTTGTCTGGAATGAGTGGTGGGCTATTAGAGGCGCCGGTAGGTTTATTACATCGATGTAAATTGGCTATTAAATGTGATATAAATTTTTTGTAATTTTATATTTGTGTAGCTATTACTTTATATCGCCGATACCATTCAACCGCGTTATCGTGGCATGTTGACTGCGTCGGGTACGGCTACAGTTTTGGGTGGCGTATGTTTACAGTTTATCATTGGTTCAGTGTTGGATTGGCGATCGGTGGCTTTAATTTCGGCCATAGTTCCATTTCTTGCATTTAATGCTGTGTTTTTGGTGCCGGAGAGTCCATTTTGGTTATATCAAAAGAATCGTATTCAAGATGCTCAAAAGTCGTTATGCTGGCTGAGAGGGTGGGTGGAGTTCAAAGCGGTTGAAAACGAATTTCATGGTATCATTCGTTCGGTTGAGGATATTCGCGCCGATAAAAAAGTTAATTCGATTAAAAAGTGGAGCAAACAGGCTGAACCATTCATGAGACGTGGCTTCATTCTACCATTCGCATTGATTTTTGTCAGTTTTATATTTCAACATTTCTCGGGAATAACGCCACTTCAAACGTATGCCATTGAAATTTTGAGCACATATAAAGTTCCAGTCAAACCATACAGTGCGACAATTTTTATTGGGGCCGCTCAAGTGATCGGCTGTTTAATTGGCACAATATTTGTACGATCAACAGGCAAACGACCGTTGGTATTTGCATCGTTCATTGGATGTAGTTTATGCTTTTTTGGATTAGGACTACAATCATATCTAAAAGAAAAACCCATGCCGTTCACGTCAAAGTCAATCGATGTTGGATCGGCCATTGATAATCTTCAACAGGATGTTTTTTATTCAATTAATTCAATTCGCAATCGTATGGATGACGAAGCAACGCAAAATAATACACTTTCTGAAGCGATCGAAAAAATTAACTTACTCATCGATTTTGGTCAAAATTCGAGCCAATTACCTAGTGCGACGAATCAAAATGATACCGAGAAACTTATCGAATTACTTAACATAACAAAAATGATTATTCTTCCATCGATGATAAACGATGAAAACAAACAAGAAACATCTAGAATCGTTAAGAAAATTGAGCAAGACATGTGGAGTGTATTGACATCAAATGACACTATTAAGCAGTCACATCTGGTAAATGAATTAAATGAAATGTCCAAAGGTTTGCAGACATTCACGCCAAGCATTTTGGCTAGATCAGCCGACAAAAATGCTGAAACGTTGGAAATTTATCAATGGATGCCATTTATATTGTTATTATGCGGTACAACGTTTGGTCATTTTGGTGCAAAGTTGTTTCCATGGATGTTAATCGGAGAGGTAAGCGAATTTGAATTGAAAATGTTATTCATCGATACTAACGAAGTTGTCAAATATTTTAGGTCTATCCAATGGATGTTCGTAGTGTGGCAGCTGGTATGTCGAGTGCGATTGGCTATTTGGTTGGATTTGCATCGAATAAAACATTTGTGTCATTGAAAACTGCATTCACGCTCGATGGAACATTTTGGATTTATTCAGCGGTGTCTCTAATTGGATGTGTGATTTTAGTGTTTATACTTCCAGAAACAGAAAATCAAACCCTAGAGTATGTGCAAGAATTTTTCAGTAAAAAGAAAATGAAGCGACCCCAAGAAAATGATGAAAACTGTAATGTTGCGTAAAAGCAGACAGAATCTATTTTTCTACATGTATAGAACTTAAATTAAGATATTTTCCCTAGTTTTATTGTTTACAAGTGTATTTTCTGAATAGAATTAAAATGTTTTGGCAACATTTGCCATCTGTTTAATTTAACATGTTTCATTTTTTGTGTACACCCATGGCAAAGAAATGATGCGAAAGAGTATTCCCGTGTCGCAGGGCTTACGAGAAAAAAGACGTTTAATTAAAGACATTTATGATATTAATAACGATTAAAGAGCAAATACTATGAAAATTATTGCTATTTTACTACGTTGATCAGCTTATTGATACCATTTATGTGGAATTCTCATGCGACTTTTGTGCTTTATCTCTGTGGTGTCTTTTGCTCTTGCTCCCTCTCTCTATTGATACGATTGAGCACGTGAAGCGATTGTGGTTAAATGAACATTCTAGTTGGATTGAAAATGTGATAAAAACGTGAGTATCAACTTTGATATTGCATCGATGAAGATGATGCGACGGAGATGGGCCAATTGGCAAATGGCCCATAAGAATGTCTGTTTACGTGCAGTTGTGTGCGTACTGTATTAAAAATAATAGCATCAACTATATACATGTGATGTAATGAAGGCTATAAATTGAACGATATAGTAATGAAAAAGATGACCAAAGTGCCGTAGAAAGCGGTCAAAACACGCACAAACACCGTATGTCCCGGTGGCCGGATAGCTTTCGCAACTAAGCAAAATCTTTCGCTCTGTCACTATCACAGCATGAACAAATATAGAAAGAAAATAAACAACTTGAAATGATGATACGTGAAAAAGAAACTTCGTTTACAGCCAAATCGAAGTTTGGCGATTATAACAATGTGTTTATTGTACGGCAAATATTATAACCATTGGTATGTCTATTTATCTTGAGCGCAATTCAACCATTTTGTTAGTATATATTTATGTGGATGTGTAAGTGTGTGTGCGAGCTGTGCAATTTCTGTCCAGTAACAGTAAACATACATATTTGAGAGACTCACAGTGAGACATCTATTTTCAAACACCGACGCACTGTAAGTGAACATCTGATGTTCATATGGTGATAACACCCAAATATTTTATCGTTTACAATTGAATATCATAAATATTTCAAAATTGATTCATAAACGCTTACAGATTCTAGCAAAATCTAGACTTTCGGCCTTGAGATTAAATCGTTATCGTTCAATCTATTATCAGTAAATTGGTAGGAAATTTCACCGGGAATCAAGCTCAACAGCTGATCAAGTGACGCTGCTTACGTCAAAATAATTGTTATGATTTTTTCCAACGAAATGGTGCTTGAAATATTATGTCCGCGATTTGATTTACGTTTGTAATTTGTTTTTAAATATTGTCGAACTTTCTGAGTTGATAAGCAATATTTTGGTGAAAGACGTCAATATTGTGAATTGAACAACAGTATAGACAAAATCTTGATATAGATTTTCATGATAAAAATTTCGTCTTTAAGTATACAACGTAAACGGAATCAACACAGCAATGAAATCCCTACTACCGTGCTAGATGGTGTCGACACGAGGGGACGGATTTTTAAATTTATTTGAACGACGCCATGTTACTATACTTGTCCATTACAACGTACATGTAACAGAAGAAACACACAGTCCATGTCCTCGCTAGTGGACATAAACGATTTGAACCGTCAATGTGAACTAGATCAAGTATAGATCTTTACATAGGATCATATACGATGAATATGGATTACACAGTCTGTTTCAAAATACCGTCACCAATGTCGACACCATTTGACATCAAAATTTTGACAGTAAAAATATGTGTTATTGTTGTTGTCGTTTCATTGCTGTGGGAATCAATGATGCATTGAAATATTTTATTGACGTAATTGTATAGCGCTCAAAATTAATTTTCCAAGCGATCCAAATAAATGTAATCGATATGAAATTGATTTCTTAAGATCTTCGATTATTTCAACGTTTTTTTTTAAATGCTCTTCTGATTCTTCTACATTGAATGAATATATTTGAATTTATGTATATACCTTTTCGAACATACTTAAGCTGTACTTTTGAAAATTGACGTCTGAAATGTTGGCATGTTTACTGGTTAAGTTATAAACACATGTAAATAAAATAGACAACAGATGCGTGCCTTGCGTGTACAACATCTAAAGTGTTAGTTTTTTTTTCTCTCTTCAAAATGAAGACGAAACATTTTCTTTTTCTCATTTTCAACGACGCAAAGACTGCAGCCGGAACCGTTCCATTCAAAACAAATGAGACCGAGCACAAGAAGATAAGATAGAAAATATAAAGAAAATGTGTGCGAATATTCTCGACGACGAGAAATGTATGTGATCAAATAACAACAGTAGCTACAAACTGTAATGATATCTTCGAGAAAATTTCTAATAACATCAAAATAAACATTATTCGGCTGATAGATTAAGCTATCAAAACTTTTCCATTTTTTTTGCTTTCGTTTTCGCTCCACCTCCATAACTAAATTCCGACAGAAGCGGCAGCGAACATAGATAGAAACGTGTAGGCTCTTCTTTGTGCCACTTTCCCTCATTTCGTTATTTCGTTTCCGTTTCAGTTCAGCCAGCCTTCTTACTTTACGTTTCATTTAATGATATTGACTGAATTGTTTGCTCAGCAAGTACATAAAAGAAATGGTTTTTTTCGTTTTTTTTTCGCTCTAATGCCAAACACGAGAAAGGTGTGTTGCGAAGCGCACCCGATTTCAAAATTGCCAACACTCTTTGAAATTATTAAGAACGCATACATTCGCCGCCAATGTTTGTTGTGATATATATTTCAGCAACAGTATCAGCTAATCCAGTCTATGTATTTCGGATGGATATCCATCCGAGATATTTTAGAATATCTGGATATTTAACGCAACTGCACAGAGCTAGAGCTGTGTGCGTCGCACATATAATCTACGGTATGTCGCATTGTCGCTACATGTGTGGCACTTGATACACATATACGTCGCGGCAGACCGTAGATTCTATTTTCGACGCACACAGCTCTGGCACTGTGCAGTTGCGTTGAATATCCAGATATTCTAAAACATCTCGAATGGATATCTATCCGAAATACATAGACTGAGCTAATCCAACGATGTTCCCAATTTTTTTTTCACTCTGTCTTTCGCTGTCATGCTTTTCACTTGTCCTTTTGACGAAATTAAGGAAAGAAAATAAAACAAAAGTAGCTTTCCTTTTAATTGCGATTTCAACTCGTTTTCAAACAACCAACCAAGTCCACAACTGACTGAACGAAATTGGGACGAATAAGACCAGAAGAGAAAAAGAAAAACAAGATAGACGAAGAAGAAAAATAAAAATGAATTGTAAAATACTTTGTTGCAAATAATTCTTTCTAGACCGGAAGATCCATCCGAAGGAGAATTCGCCTTTGAAGGACGAACAAAGTAAAAACAAATGTAATAAGAATCGTCTAATGATAGCATATCCTCTTAGGAACTTTCTGAGGTGCAATATTTTCTTTTGAAGCTTCAGTTGATGAAATGATTAAAAACACACACACATAGAGTGGGAAAAAGAGGGGTCACTTTGCGCGAGAAAGGGAAAAAAATACAACCATAATGATTGTTCGCCGCCGGTCAACCGCTAATAAATAAATAATCAACTTTTATTGCCATTCCATTTGAAATCTCTTATTTTCGGCATTTCCAAAATGATTTGACCCTAATATTTTTAATTGCTTAGAATTGCTGAACAAAAATGCAAAGCATTTTTTTAAGCGATAATGTCGTGTACATTTATTTTATAGTCGTTTGTTCATTCGACAAAGTTTTAGAATATACATCGAAAACTAACGCTTTCAATTGCAATTAGAAGTATGTGCTAAGTTTGCACACTGCTAACCGTGTTTAGGCCATAAGAAGATCTCTGAACAAAGTCTGTGTGAGCAAAGAAGTGGAAAGTGCGTGAAAAATAAATTCCATGCACATAAACTAAGCAAACAATTTGAAATCGAATACTTTGCACTAGGCGTTTGACATTTCGTTTCTCTCTGATAATTTTTTTTTTCTTGTCAATTACCAAAATTGGGGCTGTGTACTCATAATTTTGCTACATAATTTTTTTTTCTTCAAAATTTATAGTTTCAATTAAGTAGGTAGTAGAGGAAGTGTAGGTAAGTGTAAAACATTTTGTGGATTTGATAATCCAAATTATGGATGCAAACACATTGCATAGTAACACATTATTTTCAAATTATAGTAACAGAGTTGGTGCAGTAAAAAATCCACAAAAACGTCAAATTATGGCCTTGGATTAAAAAAAAACAGAGAGGAACGAAATCCGACAAGCCCACTTTGACAAGCCTACCTTGTATGTGTGTTCATTTCAAGTATATGAACCTTATTGTGAAATCGGAGACCTTGATTTCTGTTCCTAATTATTTGTGCCTGTTTATTATCATTTTTTTTTCTCGTTGTTTCTCGGTAACGTTAATCGAATCTATGGCACACCGTAAACTGAGTAGCGCAGTGAGAGCAAATGAGTGACGATAGCAGAGAGAAATGTGGAAATGGCTATTCAAACAAATAAACTTTACAAGATAATTAACTATGTCAAATGGCAATATTCTGAGTGACTGCTAATTTTAGTAGTTTGAGCTGTTGTTGGTAAGGATTCTCTCTGAAATCATTTCTGACACTGCTGCTCGACATTACTATATTTTAAATACAGAAAATATTCATCATAACAACAAAAATTTTCGACCAAGCTAAAACCATTCATTTTCTAGCAAAATCTTTATACCAATACTTTTCGGCCGGTGTTGACTTTCCAAATCATTCTCTGATTACTACAGTAAAAAAAAGACTTTCACGTTCGTCTTATTTCTCAAAAAGTTGTTGGTATAAATCTAATTTAATAAGATAAGTGCCAAAAGAGAAAAAAAAAACGGAAAAAAGGGAGAGAACAAGTGATATAAATAAAATACGAAAATTAACGACGGATATTCGTCGCAAAATGATAATACCATAGTAACCAAAACATCAAATACCATTTCGACACCTTCGCTTTCGTATTGCCACGATGATAAATTCAAAATAACGAAACTAACATTAACACAAAATTACGCACAAAATG